CCCCCCCCAATTTCCGCAAGTAGTGCCAGGCTACATTTCTGGCATTCACTCATCCTGGGACGGCTGTTCATCCTTTCTCGCAGCAGCCGCTCCAGCGTCAAGCAAGGCGTTTGAATGGAGCCGACATTCATTAATCATAGGCAGCTTTGAGAAGAGCCAGCCCGCTAGGTCTTGTAGCATGTTTTGCTCAAAGCTTCAGCAAAAGTCGTAGGGGGCATTGATCGGACGTCTCGTCCCTCACACAATAACAAGATACCAGGAGGGGGTTTCAGTGCGAGTTTCACGTGTGTGCTTCGATGTCGAGCGCGTGGCTGGGTGGGTGTGTGTACGCACTTGCCCTATTGTATGACTTCTTGTTAAGCCCACTTGTTGCTCCGGTTTTTGGGGGTTTTTTGTTTTGTTTTGTTCGTTTGTTGGGGGGGGGGTTTTGTTTTGTTTGTTTATTTGCAGGTTTTTGTTGTTGAGAGATGGAATAAAGGAGAATCCATTATGATTAACAAGATATCTGTCGTAGATCTTAGCTCAGTTATATTTTCCAAAACGAGAAGCGTACAAGAATGGCGTCTGTATGACAAACCTCATTCTTAATAATATTCTGTTTTCTTTGAGGTTTCTTTTGTTCTTTCCTAATAAGGTGCAAAAAATGGCGTGTTTTATATAATTTGTTCAGATTTATAATCTAGAATAAAGTGCGCCTATCCACGTTTTCTGTATCCTGAGTTTTGACCAGCTTCATCCCAGAGCTTGCACAAGTAGGAAGAGTACTGAGCTTTTGTTTAGATATCTTTAAAGAATTTTATCTACCGTGGCGATTTGCGTTCTTGTACAGAGTGCATTCAATCGTGGCCAATAATCATGTCGTTTGGGTAAGTTTCTCTTCATGACCAGCTGAATGAAAGAAATACCAGAAGCAATACTGTTTGTGAAATTGGATGTGGGCCGAAAGACGAAGATTTAAAATGTTCAAAGTTTGAAACGAAAATGGTCGTGTCACGATTTCTGCTTTATTAATGCTGTATATTATTGTTTCAAAATATTCAGTTCCGATGTATGGTCTATAACACCACTGTCTGCTTTGCGTGACCTTTTGTTATTGTGATATATTGTCTACGCTCTAAATACACGGTATAATGTGTTCTAGTAGGTTTTATCTACATTGGTATTTCCTTGTTTAAAGTAACCACACATATTTCTGTTCCCACCACTACCGTCAGTTATATTGAAATGTATTTTGTGTGTGAGTCCTGACCTTAAGGATACCCCGTGTAAATTGTCACCCGTTCCGTTTTGTCCATTGTGGACAGTAAATGAGGTCTTGTGTGACTAACCGAGGGCAGATACCCTTTTCACCTAACCCATGGCGACAATCAATGGCTGTGGGGACTTCCTTCAAAATATGGCAGCCGTATTTCTTGTGGAGATGTCTCCACTGTCTTGACTCGGACAGATACCGATCCCGAGAACAGGACCCAGTCAGTCAGTGGTCCTATACAGTCGAAATTTACCAACAAAAGTACCTATAATCCCGACTGACTGGTGGAGGAAATGTTTCTGTGACTAGTTGAGATAATTTATTTCCTGTCGTTCTCCTTAGCTGGCCAAGCATCCCGACTTGTGTAGGGAAGAAGTCTTTTTCGTCCGTGTACCCAGAACATGGTCCTTTGTACTTCTGCCTTGGCGTTGAAATTGATTTCAGCAGGGGGTCCTTAGTGGTCTGCGGGTCTCTATGGCCGCGGCGGTGTGACTTTGAACTATATTTCTCTCCATAGATGTGGAAAATAGACAGAGGGTATGATGATGGTAACACACCAGAGAACGCGTCATAGGGGTCATATGTATCCGAAATAAGCTTCCCACCATAGTTTGGTCTGTAGCTCCGAGGCACCGCTGGCCTCTATTTTATGCTGGAGATGAGTATTCCAATTGGCCTTGAGCTGTTACTATAAATCAGTTCCGTGGTATTTCTGTATTGTGGAGTGGTGTGAATAACCGTGCAAGTTCATTGGAGGGAAAATGCGACAAGAATATGGCTATACACCATTCGAACATTTTATTTAGTTCGGAGTGATCGTTATTATAAATTTAGCCTGCTGGTTTCTCTTCGTGCGAAAACAAAAAGTCTTCTTTTTGTTATTGTGTCTCTAAGTAGCGGATGTAGCCACCTCCATTCAACCTTTTTGCCATGTGCCTAATTCTGTGTTTCCCTCTCTTCCTCAGCTCCCACTATGGCCGGCTTGAGGTGCTGGGGCGCCCTGCTGGTGTTGCAAGTGGTCGCCCTTTGTCACGCCAACAGTGAGTAGCTGGCCTTGCCTTGTCATTGTGGGTTGGTGGTTTGTATCATGGGGCGGGTGGAGGTCAGCAGTGCAGGAAGCTGGTAGGGTGGATGGTCACTACCTGCATTGTGTTGTCTGTTTAGATTGGGACGAAATGGGTGAATATGTCCGGTATAGAAGTTTCTTTATATGTATTATATGTGTTGGGATACAAGGGATGGGCGCGTGTATAATAAATGTGCTCTTTAAGTAAGAACGTAGCTGACACACGTATGTCGGATCAGTCACAGGTCAAAAGCAGTGTTAGGCACAAATCAGATATATGGTATTGCATCTTTCATAGTATACTTCTCTCTTTACGTTTAAGATAAAGGAGATAGAACTGAACAAATCTGTATGACTAACGACGTTGTAATGCTTCTTTTATACGTGCCTCAGAACAGCGCGTCTTCGAGCGTTGTTGAAAGATCAGAATATGCGTCCTCGATTGGTTAAGGAATAAGGTTGAAAGTCGGGTGCTGTTGATTGCTTGTCTGATTAGGAAGGCAGGCTGAAGTTAGTGTGTATACAATTGTACATGATCTATATGTGCGCAGGCATAGGATGGGGGTGGGTACATTCAGTATTCACCGGGTGGAGGTTGTGATCTGTATGTTGGTTGCCGGTGTGAAAATGTTATTGTATGAGGAGTTACACAACATAATAATATGTCATGTGTGGCGTCGTTGTTGTAGTGGTTAGCCCCTGTGACTCTCAACCGTGAGATCATGGGTTCGATTCCCAGCAGGAACCCCACGTTGTGTCCTTGGGAAAGGCACTTTACACGAATTTCGCCCACTTCACACATACGTGAGAATGGGCACCCGGCTATAAACATCGTCAGATCTGGTCAGTTTGTTAGTATTTTAGTTCACGTAAGCCGCAGCTCGCACTGTATGCTTCCTGGGAAGCCAGGAATGTTTCCCAATGTTCTAGGGTCTGCCGGGGTAGTGTAACGTGCGCTTAGAGTATGCTGTAGTGAGTGTGGATGTGCGCTATTGTATTACTATTACTACCAATTCTGTGTTTTGATTTCTCTTTCTGTGTTGAATGTTGTTCGCTCCTCTTTCATTCTATTCTCTAAAGCTCCCTCCCTCCCTCCCTCCCTCCCTCCC